CTGCACGATTTCTCCGAGCTGGTGCTCCCCTGTGACAGCTCTCCCCACGACCTGCTAGTGAGTGGGGATGCTGATGAAAAGCAGTGTGATGATTCCCTGCGAGGGATGAAACCTCAGCTCTACTACTGTTACTAACAAAGCACTGCAGGGAAGTTTTCCAGCACGGTTAAGGTCTGCTCTGCTAGGTGATGTTGTGAACTCTGCCTTACTCCTAAACCTGCAGTTTAGGGACAGACTGCTGAGGCACTTTACACTGTAGAACCAAAGGAAGCTGGAGAGGGCACAGCGGGGGCAGGGCAGAGTTCAGGAAGGGTAAAAGCAAAGAGCAAAGTTAGGTAGAAGACTTGAGGCTCATCAGCCTCTGTGTGAATAGTGCAAACTGGCCTATTCTTTCTAATTATAAAGGAAAAAAAATATTGCAGATAGGTAAGCCTGACAATTTCTTGTCCCCACCCCACACAGGTGAAAAGTGAGGATGACTTACAAGCTTTGTGATTATCTGGTCCCTTCCCCTTCTGCAAACACCAGTAATGAAAGAGTGGTGAAAGAAAGAAAATGGCTTTTGAGCCGTGCAAAATATAATTCTGTAGTGAAGATTGCTTTAAAACCATAAAGTCTAATTTGGCCTGCCCTCTATCACATAGTTTAGATTGTGAGTTGGTGTTTCTGAAATATTTTTTTCAAATTAATATAGAAAAAAATTTACTAATGAATACCTGTATGGAGATCATCTCTTAAACTTCACAGTTGGAGGAACTGTGACTGATGGATTAACTACGATAACATCTGTACCAAGGTTTATACAGCAGATGCAATCTTCATTTTCAGAAAAAAGCAAGTTTTTCAGATCATTTACTAAGGCTTTAGATTAGACAACAGCCTCAACTAATGAGGTTCAGGACCAAATAAAAGAAAGCTGTGTCAGCCACTTTCCCACACTGACAGTTCTTTTCTGGTTGAGATAAAGAATTGGGTAAGTACCTCATACCAGGATGTGTGAGGTTTTGTAGCAGTTGGCATGTGATGTATAGAAGGCAATACTTCATGTAAGACAGCAAGGTGCTGCTTTAGCTTGTTTCTTTGGGCTGAATTTGAGTTTTAAGTCTGTGAAGCCAAATGCAGACAGGCTTTCTATAAGCACATTCTTAAATTTCCTGATATTGTAGCATTTTGTTAACTGTGCTTGTCAGCTTTTCTGTGAAATGTTACAACTTGGTTTTTAACTTTGTTGACCTCTTTTGTCTTCGGTTTTCATGTTCCTGTATGAAGTTAGACTTGAATCATCTCTGTGATATTTACCCATAACTTGTATGCCTGTGCTTCTAGGTCTTTGTCTAGAGACAGAACTAACGTTGATGTCAAACCAGGGTAAGATACCTGTGTCTGAATAAGCTGTTCCCACTCCCCAAGTTCATTTTACTTAATGGTCTTGACTTAACTCTCAGCACACTCTTTGCACACATTTTTTCTGCACTATAATGGTGTGGAGATGGGAAACCTCACGAGGACGAGGAAAGCACAGTCTGTTACTTCAAGGTGAAATAATTCACTGTTTGGTGGAAAAGAACATCCCTTCTAATTGGGAACTTAGAGCACTTTCTCTGGATGAAATCTTGATTTAGTGCCAAATGTGATTATAGGCACCAGTTACATTTCTGTAAATATAAAACCAGATTATCTTGAGGATCTCAGACATTCAGTTTTCAAAGTGCCAAACTTTGTTTTAAATGTCTTTCTTCCTCTTAGCCCCCTTGCAGCATGACTGCACTGCCAAAAGGAGACTCTAGGACTGTAATGACTGCCTGGCCTGGCAGCAGACCTCATCCTGGAACTAAGGGGTGGCAAATGCCATACCTGTCATCCTGACATAAAAAGAGACTGGGTTCTGAAAAGGGGTAAAACCATGAAGCTTTTTTTCTTTTCTGGGTGGCATTTTAGAATATCTAGGAACAGAAAACTCATCACATCAACGTTTTAGGTTAAAAATGGGAAGAGATTAATTTTGCTCAGTGAAAGCATCTCATTTTTCTTACCTTTACAAGTCAATTGTAACTCCTCTTTGATAACTATTACCTTTAGTGCAAAAAAAAAACAACTACCCTTTCCATCTGCTTAAAGTAAGGTAAAAGAGTACTGCTAGGCAGCTCCTCCTTTGTGAGCAGAATATGTTCTCTGTTTTGCAGAAATTAATGCAGTTCTTTGCCACCTAGAAGCCAGTAGCACACAGCAGCGGGACTTGAACAGATCAGTGGCTGCCCACACTGCTGAACTGCTAGAACAGAGTGGTGCCTCTGTTGTTTCAGTGCCTCTTAATTCCAGTCACAATGTACAAATGAAAAAAGCAGAGTGGACCATTTTACCTAGAGATGAAGGCCTCATTGATAGTCTTTCCTTAATTGTGTTGCAGGGTTTGAAGTGGGGGTATAGTGACTGTAGGAACAGCTACTTTCATCCCCTTATATAACTACTAGAGAGGGAAGTTAGATATTCAAAATGCAGTTTTGTGTTCTTCAAAAAGATATAAATCTAATGGTGTTCAGCAGAAGGCTGAGGAACCTCTACAAAACTCACACTTTTCCAGGCTTTTATATTTTCTTGCACGCCTTAAATAGTAGGCAGACCAGATCCACCTCACTCTCTTCTTTCCTCTGCTCACTAAGAATAAAGAATATGATTTAAACATAATAAATGAGGTTATAGGGCTGTGCTGGGTTTGGCTGGGGTAGAAATTTCTTCAAAGGAGTTGGCGCTGGCTGGAGTTAAACCACCACAGCTGCCAATCCTGAGAAGTCCCAGTCTTGTGCCTCCAGAAGTTCTTTTTCTTAAAGCTGGCTTCTGGGCAGTGGATGTCAGGATGCTGAATTAAGCCAGGCTTTATCAGGCATCTGTTATTTCCAATTTTCTGTTCCTCGCTTTAGAACTGAACCAGGAATTGCAGCTTTACTGAGCTGTGGCTCTAGCCCTGAAGTCTCTCTGACCAGTGCTTGGCCTGTCTTACAGAAAGCACAGCTCTGGCTTATGTGTGCCTGGCTACAGAGCTGAGAATGTTCTTTGAGCTTTAGCACTTCATAGCAAAGACATCAGTTTGTTCCCAGAATTTCTGGGAAATTTGGAAAATAAACATTTGTGTCATATAGCATCTCCTTATCTGCAAGTTAAGAGAAGTGCTCGGAAAAGCTTACAGGAGGAGGTAGTTTTTTTGCTTGGGGGTTGTTTGGGTTTTTTTTGTTTTCATAGCACAACCACTTTTTTCCTTCTTTCCACTTGAAATAACTTCGTTTTCCATGGTTATATATGCCTTTTACAGTACATAAGCTATCCCTACCAAATCCAACACATAATAAGGAAGAATACTTGAACTGCATTGGCATTAGGTGGCACAAAAGGTAGTTGCAAACTGTACATAAAGTACTTGAATTTATACTCTTGTAAATGGGTGTTACGAGCCCCGAGGTATTTTCAGGAACTGGCTGAAGTATCGTTTTTGTTAAATCTCATTTTGGCATGAGTTATCATAGTGTTATTCAAATATTAATTTTGCTTTCTGTTATATGTGAGCCTAGAGGTGTTGGGTGGTTAAGTGTACATCCTATTTTGATAAAATTTATTTTTATATTGCATTTTATAAAACAAAGTTGTCAAAAATGTGTAAGTTTATGATGCATGACTGGGTGATTAAACACATTGTAACAGCTGCTCATTTGATATTTTCAATACATTTGTCTTGTGTCATGTTGGGATCTTTTACTGTAAATGTCAATAACACACAGATTCCACATTCACACACAGCTGCTACTACACATAATCACCACGGCATTGCATTAGCAAAAGGTGTTGCTTTCTGCTGGAAACAAATTTAGTTGAACTGAGCAACTTCAAGGAACAGGATTTGACACTCACAGACTCACAAGGAAGATATTGTTTGTTTCAAAAGAAATATGTCACTTAGTATTTACTGCACAGAGAAAACAGCCAGTCACAGGCACCTGGACACTGCAGCAGCTGAGCACTGTGTGGTATTTCCCACTGGAGAAGGACCTGCTGCTTCTTAACACTTCAACAGAGCTGGGCCACTTTCAGTAGTTAGTTTACTTTATTCAAATGAGTTTACAGTGCAAATGCCTTAGAGCCAATAATAATAATTCCATGTATGTTACTTTTATTAAGCATATTGGACAACTGAAATCAATCAATAAGCTCTATTTTCCAACATAACCATAATAAGCTACTCATACACTTACCACTCTATTTGGCAAACATCCTAAAAAAGAAGTTACCATAGAAATTGCCTCTTAAGAAGGGCAAGTTTGTCTTAAAAAGAATTAAGAGTTAACCAGTTTTTCAACTTCAGAGTTGTTCTTTTGGTGAGGAATAAGGGTGCTTTTTGCCACAACAGAAAGTTAAGTAATTTAAATAAACTTTTCCTGTAAATAAACTCTAGCAGTGGAATGTACAAATCAAGCAGCATGGCTTACACTTCCAGAAACTGAAGCATGAGCATAGTAGTGCATTATGCTGATTATAATTGTCCTTTAAAATATATTACTTCATATTTAACTAAATGTTAACTTCTATTCAGTAGAAGGTTGTGGCTTTTGGACAGAATTGGTAATTTCTTTTGTGCTTTGACAACATATCTGTAGTGAATTTTAAAAATACAATAATAAGATAACCCTGGTAAAGGTTAAAATAGAAAGATAACTGATAATTTTGATACTGCATCAAGCATTATGCAATATATAACTGTCTATCCAACTGCATTTTAATACCAACATAAGAAACAGTAACTAAAGCAATAAATGAACATTTTGGCTGTCAGCAAAGAGTTCCCCACTTTTGTAAGCTCAGACAGGTGCAGGAACTTAACTGAAGTCTCTATTAGTAAGGACAAGAGGAGCCACTAAGGTCCAAAAATAGAGAAGCAGACAAACCCAGCTGGAGGTTATCTTCACCCACACGGCTGGCCATTTACTTGTCATGGTTTTGAAATCAGCATCAGGGCTAAAAAGTAAAGAAGTCCATTAGTAGACACAGAAGGCACCTCCCCCTATTCCTTGGTACCTCTCATGAATCTGAAATGAGGGCAATCCTTTGGGGCACTCCAATGCAAGACCCTTTGTGAGAACATAGTGAGACAACTAAGCCAGCAGTTTCCTGCAGCTCCATCCAAGGCTGTTCTTGGAACACAGTTTTCAAGCCTGCTTGCCCATGCTGATGTGCTGCTGTTCAAGGAAGTATTTGCTAATTCATGCAATGTCCTGGGAGCAGTGGTTCTGAGCTGCAGCAGCAGAGGGTATGTCCAAGTGTTTCCAACAGATGTAGGAAATCACATCTCTGATAAGCAGCACACACAGCTGTCCCTGCACATCCTTCCCAGGATGAAGAGCAGGCTGGCTTCTAACAAACTTTGCAGGAAGCCTCCTGAAACCAGTTCCATATCTATCCTTCCTGCTACTCCTCCAGCTGAAGAATTGCAGCCACACTTTCTGCCCTTGCAGCTCTGGAGTAGTGCCCTGGAACCACAGCTGCTGATTGTGCTGTACTGCCTTCTCACATCTTAATTCAGTAACACTAAATTGAGAAAGCACAGCTCGACTGCAACTGGCACAGGGACGGCACCTTCACCAGCTTGGCAGGAGGAGGAGTCTCCTGATGGAACCCAGGTCTGGTTCAGGGGCTCCATGTGGTGGAAAAATCCCTCCTCCAACCCGTGCCTCCAAAGAAAAGCTCAGTAGTTTCTTGTTTGGTCTCAAGGCAGTTTATTGTAAGCTATCTAAAAGATTTTCTTCTCGGGCTGCTGTGGTTTGCTCACAGCTGAGGCAGAGGCACACACACACCCTGACATCCTCTCTGACTCCCGACTGCTTCTTCTCTCCCCGCCCAGGGCATTACGTGTTACATGGGTACAGTTTTCCCAAATGCCTATTACCTATATTAAATGGTGCTTTTCTACTCTAAACCAATCTGTGAGTGCCAACATCACCAAGAACATGGAGGTAAGGAAGAAGAAAGAGGTAGGACAGGGCAAGCCCAAATCCCTCCATCTTAAAACTTCTGACCCCCATGTTCAAAACAGAAACCCCCCTGTACAGCACTAAAAAATTCTTCCCTCTACTTTGTAACTACTTCTACTACAATATCTAAACTTTTGTGACTTCTTGTTCTTCCTGCAAGGTTGGTAATTCATTCCATGGCTCAAACTCAAAATCACAGCTGTTTCCAGCTGCCTGCCAGGGTCTCAAATGCTTCTGACCGGGGCCTGGAACCTCCAAAAATGTCTGAGGGACACTTTGAGTTCCAACAGTCTCCTGTCCTCATGGAAACACTTGCACACAGAACCATCACCTCCCCTCTGGCTCTTACCTGTACCAGTTGGTGAGTGTCATCATGATGTAAAGAGAGGCAAGGAAGAGCATGAAGTGGAAGAAGGTGTAGCTGTACTGAACCCCGTCCTTCTCGTTGTCCGCGACACGGCGCACCTCTCCCTCCTCGGCTGCCCCGCTGCCTGTCCCCACGTTCTCCTCCAGGATGGCAGTGTCACTGCCAGACAGGGTCAGCTTGTTCACCTGGCTGTTACTTGAAGAGCGGATGCTGCAGTGCAACACAGAGAGAGACCTGGTTAACAACTCCTTTCACAGTCAGCTGTGTTTGCTAATCAAAGAAGCAACGGACCACAGTGAATGTCTGGGGCTAGCAAATAATATGTTTTGAAATCCATTTGGAAGCATAAGGAAATTCCTTCAACTGTTTTCTTCCAAGCTTTTGTTAACTTAATTAAACAGCATTCCAGTCCCAAATCATAGAAAGGTGTGGTTTGGAAGGAACCCTAAAGATTATCTTGTTCCAATCCACCTGCTGTGGGCAGGGACACATTACACCTAGACCAACTTGCTCAGAGCTCCATCCAGCCTGGCTTTGAACACTTCCAGGGATGGAGCATTCATAACTTTTCTGGACAACCATTCAAGTGCCTCATAACCCTCACAGTAAAGAGTTTTTTCCTAATATCTAATCTGAATTTACTCTTCCAGTTTTAATCCATGTCCTTGTAAAAGTTTCTCTCTACGTTCCTTGTAGGCTCCCTTCAGACACTGTTAATTAGGTCACCCCAAAGCCTTCCTTTCTCCAGGCTGAACAAACCCAGTTCTCCCAGGCTTTCCTCACAGGAGAGGTGCTCCATCCCTCCAATCATCTTGTAACACATGTTGTTCTGTTATCTGGATTGGGCTTACAAGGCTTATCCTCACACACAAAGCACAACACAGGTTTATGAGCCACATTTGGCTTCAGGTCTGAGACAGCAGCTGGATGTGAATAAATGCAGGTACATTTTGCACTAGACCCAGATTCTAACAGAGGATGCAAACCCCAATTCTTTATCACTGGATAGCAGTGCAGATCCTACCTGGAATACAAGAGGCAAAGGACAAAGATAACCAGTCCAACAACACTCTGGGCATCCCACCACTGCAGGGACTTGGGTGGAGCAGGAGTGGCAGGTGGGACAGTGGCATTGGCTGGAACAGCTGTGGGTGCAGCTAACTGGGTGATGATGTTCAGCAGACTTGGGTTACAGTTTCTTTCTGAAAGGGATTTCAAGGCAGATTAGACAGGTGAGCTTTGCCAGCATTTAGCTAAGAAAAGATGACAGGTAAGCTTGCAATTTTTCATTCTCTTTAACTGCTGATCTCTTCAAATCTCCAGAGGCAAAAATTGCCTGCAATATTTTTCCTGCCTGTGAGCTAGGCAAGAGTATAATAAATAAATAACATCAGAATGCCCTGACACTGTTTCTTTTTTCCCCCCTTACAACTCCCCAGTTTAGTTCTGCAAAGAGGCTGTTTGATAGTTTCAGTCAAGTCAGGTTTTCAGCCTCACTGGATTTGATCTGCACAGATCAGCAATTCCCACAGAGTGATCTGTAATAACCATCAACTTCTGCTTTCACACCAAAATATGACTCAAGACAGCAAGTTGCTTACCAGGCTCATTGGACATGGCTGCCCAAGTGAGGTACATGGTGTAGAGTGTGATGACAGAGGACTGGAGGAGGCCAGAGCGAGGCTGATGTTCCTGTTCCAACACAGAAGAGCAAGCCAAGGTCAAAAGGACAAGTTTTACCTAGAGTTGGATAGTTTTATTCCACTGCCACAGATGAAACTATTACTAGCATGAAAACCATTGCTGTAGAAATTAATTGGGTTTTGTTCTATGTTTGAAAGACTGTAAGAAACTCCTTAGAGTTATATAATTTATGCAAAAAAGCAACTCCTAGAGAAGGAATAAACAAACCAAATCCTTTTTTTTGTACCCAAGACTTAGTTACAGGCTGTTACTGAGTTAATCTCAACCTTTTCAAACAACTTTGCAGATGTGACTCTAGCATGTGATTTGAGCAATACCAGTTCAGAATCAAGTAACATAAACTTCCCTCTAAAACAAGTTTACCCCTAATTTCAAAGCCACAGTATTAAGCAAATAAATCTCCAGCTATTTAGCTATTCCCCAGCTGATTTCTCTGTTCTGCCAGGGCCTTCACCACTAAAACCATGCCAGCAGTCCTCCACATGGAAGAAAAGTCTAAAACCATGTTAGTTCAAAAAAGCCTCTCTTCAGAAAATGTGTCACCATGGTTTCAGAGCAAGATTTTTTTTTAAGTTCCTAACTAGCATAGCTATGTTAGCCAAGTTTTAAAGTTCTTATGTCTGACTGAACTGCTATTACATCCTTCTCATTTCCCTGCTTTGTATGTCAGAATAAGAAAGTAATACCTGAACTTTTGGAAGGATAGAAACAATGGAGACAGCAATGCACAGGATCATGTTAAAGCTTATGAAGAATTTGTTCTCAGTGCAGTCATCAGGCTTCGTGTAGAAAACGTAGAAGAGAACCACAAAAACCAGGGACAAGGCATAGAACAAGCTTGTACAGGATAACAGAACTGGAGGAAAAAAAATGTTTACATTACATATACAGTTTTAATAGTACATCTAAAATGGTTTAATGTTCAGCTAACACTGCAATAAGACAGTCTTTCTTCCTCACCTGGCAGTCTGGGTCACAAAAGCAGACATTTTTGCAAGACATAGCTAAATTTCTGCTTGGGCTCACTAAGCAGCATAGCTCAGAGAAAGGCCAGTGCTGCCACCAGGGAAACAGGACTTGCCTTTCAGCAGCAGTTTAATTAGTTTAACTGCTATCAGCCACAGTGGCATAATGAGAGAGTGCTTTTTGCACACTTCTCATGGACATTTACCTGCCCTGGATTCCTGCACTTGAGGTCACCCATTTTTGTTTCCACTCTGTTCTTTGTAAGAAGCGACAAAATGCTGTTGCAGCATTCTTAGCTATGAGCTAAGAGCCACAACAATTAGCACTTTGTAATTAGTGGCCAGCTGGGGAGCAGGCACCAAGGCACACACAGTGTGGTACTGCAGCAGTCACAGACACAACTGAGCTCCTGGGGACACAGCAGGGGAGGGGCAGAGCAAAGCTCAGGTTTGAAGAGAACCAGGCTCAGAGCTCCGCACACACCCTGCAAACCAGGCAAGTGTGATTTACCAGGATTGTCAGATGTGCTACTCACAAGCATAAAATATTTTGCATTTTATTGAACAATAAAAAGGAAACATTGCTGCTATTAATTTCAGGTGTTTACAGCAGTGTCTCAGGGACACTGTGCAGTTTAATTCTAGGTAGGTCTGCAAACCGGAATATGATATTCTGCAGGGTCTGGCCAGTACAAACAAATCCTTTACAGGTTAAGATGCTCACCTGCATACCAGCATCTGGAATTCCCCTCTTCCATTTTCTCAACCCAGCTCTCATTCCAAGAGTGAGCAAAATCCACAAGTAGAACCAATTGGATAAGGATGAAGCAGAAGGCTCCAGAAACACCAATCCAAAACCAAGCTAGAAAAGGGTACAAGAAAAGAAATGTTAGCTTTTATCATGTGCATGCTACCTCTGTTTAAAAACAAAAAAGGTCCTGATTATACTGCAGACAAATAACGAAAGAAATGAAACTGTAATTAGAAATGTAGGTGCTGTTAATCACTTTGGCCTCAATCTGTCAGGAGCACAGGAGTCCCAGCTATTCAGGGATGCAGCCAATGCTGGGCAAGCTCAGCATGGAAATGTTTAGCCCAACACACTCTCAGAATGAAGGCAGCATCTAACATGTGGCATCTTTGTGTACAAAAGTGCCATTATGCCACATTTCTTTGAGGGTCAACAACCCTTTCAAGTTCCTCTGATGTGGCCAGACAGTAGAGGCTTCCCACACAGTTTTTCAGAGACTCTAGGAAGCATTTAACACTTGTCAGTGTCCCAGGTTGCCCCAGTCTAGTATCAGAAGACTCAGCTCAGTAGTGACTGTGTCATGAAGTAAAAAATTATTAATAATCAAAACCTATTAGGTTGAAAAGGGATTTTTTTATTGCCATAACTTCAGCTGGTCACCAAAATACTGGATGGACCAAGGTACTCCAACAAAGATGGGCAGAAACTGAATCTTCTACAGGGAACTTTCAGCAATGCCTGTTAATCTGTGAAAAGGTTTGAGCTTATACAAGTCAGAATTCCATGATGAACATTAACTGTACCTCTTGTGAAAGGCCCTTCGGGGATATAAAACGCTCCAACCATGATAGCCACAATGGCAGCTATTTTGAAGAACCAGAACCTTTAAAAGAAGATAGAAGTCATAAATATTGGTTTTACTCTATGCACAGTCAGTTCACACACAGAAGTCATGTGCTATGTGATCTGTAAGCAGCTTGGTCCTGCTCCAACCAGGGCTTTGGATCATATGATCCTGTTGACCAGGGAGGTTGAGGACTTCCCATCCCTGGAAGTGTTCAAGACCAGGCCTGGATGGGGCTCTGAGCAACCTGGTCAGTGGAAGGTGTCCCTGCCCCAGCAGGGGGTTGGAGGTGGATGGTCTTAAGGTCTCTCCCAACTCAAACCATTCTATAATTTTATCATCCCACGCTCTCCAAAGGTCCCTTTCCAATTAAATGACTCTATGATGATTCAGTCACCTAGCCCAAAACTAACTCAGCTGAATCAGGGAATTGGAAATCAGAAGCCAGTTTCTGCTAGCTGAGTCAGACTGGCCTTGAGAATGACCCAATGAGTGCCAGAGGCAGCACAAGGTCAGAAATATAAACTAGCTGCAATCTGACATCTTTATGAAAACACAGAGCACTGCCCTTCTGGTCACCCCACCTCAGAGTGGCACCCTCAGCCAGGACACTGAGCATCTCACATAAATAGGAAGCTTTTAAGGAGACCAAAGCACTGCTCTGTACTGGGTCCAAAAGAAACCTGAAGCTGTCTGTGTATGCATAAAGGAATTTCCATGTGCTCAGCAGAGCAGCTGGAAGCAGGAAGGCAGCTGGAAGGGCAGCCAGCTGGCTCACACATACCCATTGTGTATGGAAGCTCTCGGGTCGTTACTTGTTTTCACTTCTA